ATCTACATTTGGTGTAATTATTGATAAGTATGAATTTGTTACTGTCATTTTATTATGTGTTTTTCCATGGTGTTGCTGATTTCTTTGTTCCATATAATTTTCTGTGCTGAGCTCATTTTGTTTATGAATCATGTTATCATTTCCTTTGTTGCTAGTGTTTTAGTATTTGCTAAATATTTGTGCCTGTCCTCATTTTTATTTTGATATGAAGATTTATTATTTTTCTTTGAGGTTTCTGGTGATTTATAATTTTCTTTCCAAGTTTAGAATAATCTGTTCTATCTCGAACTGTCTTAACTTCCTCATCATCACCGTCAGGATAGCTGACTGTCTGCAGCTCCATTTGTCTCCTTATTCACTGTTTTCACTCAGGTTCTTCTACTAGTTGGTATTTAATCCATTTCTGTATCATTCCTTTCAACGCTCATGGCTCCAGAATTATCTTCTGTATCTGTGTCAATTGTTTTCTCTTTTCTTTGTTGAAGATGGTCTGTGTAGCTTGCCTAGATATTCTCCCATCTTCCTGGAAGTCCTTCCACTTTTTTCTTCAATGCTGATCACTGGATCCCTATTTTGTTCCCTATAACTAAGTGTCTGGTAGAATGGAAGAGAATTATTGCATTTGTCTACAGAACACATTTTCACCCCAAGGAATGAAATGATCAAAGCATCAAAACTAAGACTAGTGTGAACAATACATTAAAATTCAAGAGCAGGGAAGAGAAATGATCCCAACAACAAATGCCAGAGTAAATGTTAGAATTAAAATGAAGCTAATAATTATTTTTAGTTAGCATGTATTGAAAACATACTATGCACAGGGCATTTGTTGACTGTTGTTGTCTGACATCAAGTTGGTTCTGACTCATAGTGACTCTAGGTACAAAAGAAGAAAATGCTCATAGTCTTGCACTATCATCATCACCATGTAGGAGTCCATTTTTGCAGCCACTCTGTCAATTCATCTTGTTGAGGCTCTTCTTCTTTTTCACTGACCCTCTACTTAACCAAATGCGATGTCCTTCTCCAGAGACTGAACCCTCCTGATAGCATGACCAAAGAACATAAGATAAAGTTTCACCCTCTTCACTTCCAAGAAGCATTCTGGCTGTACTTGTTCCACAACAGATTTGTTCATTCTTCTAGCAGTCCATGGTCATTCACTATTCATCTCTAACACCATAATTCAAAGGCATCAATTCTTCTTTTGTTGTCTTTATTCATTGTCCAGCTTTCAAATGCATATGAAACAACTGAAAATACCATGTCTTGAGTCAGGTGCACCTTAGTCCTTGATGTGACATCATTTAAAAAAAAAACAAAAACAAAAACCATTTTAAAAAAGTATTTTGCAGCAGATTTGTCCAATGCAATACACTGATTTCTTGACTGTTGCTTCCATGGGTATTCATTGTACATCCAAGTAAAATGAAATTCTTGACAACTTCAATCTTTTCTCTGTTTATCACGATGTTGCTTACTGGTCCAGTTGTGAAGATTTTTGTTTTCTTTATGATGAAGTATAATCCATACTGAAGGCTCTAGTCTTTGATCCTCATCATTAAGTGCTTAAGTCCTGTTCACTTTCAGCAATGAAGGTGGTGTCAACTGCATATTGCAGGTTGTCAATGAGTCTTCCTTCAGTTCTGATGCTGCTTTTTCATTCTTCATATAGTTCCGCTTCTCAGATTATGTGCTCAGGATACAGACTGAATAAGTATGGTGAAAGGATACAACCCTGACACACATCTTTTCTGATTTTAAACCACGCAGTATCCCTTGCTCTGTTTGAATGAGTGCCTCTGGCTCTATGTACAAGTTCCACAGGAGTAAAATTAAGTGTTCTAGAATTCTCATTCTATGCAACCATAATTTTTATGATCCACACAGTGGAATGCCTTTTCATAGTCAATAAAAGGCAGTAAACAAACATCTATCTAGCATCCTATTCTTTCAGTCAAGATCCATCTAACATCAGCAACTATATCCCTCATTCCACGTCCTCTTCTGAATTCACCTTGAATTTCTGGCAGAACCCTGCTGATGTACTGCTGCAACCAGTTTTAAATTACCTTCAGCAAATCTTTACTTCTGTGTGACATTAATAATACTGTTCGATAATTTCCACATTCTATTGGATAACCTTTCTTTGGAATGGGCACAGATATGGATTTCTTCCAGTCAGTTGGCAAGGTATGTGTTTTCCATGTTTCTAAGTATAGAGAGTGAGCACTTCCAGTGTTGCATACGTTGGTTGAAACATTTCAACTGGTACTCCTTCAATTCCTGGAGCAGGCTGGATTTCCTGCTTCAGTTTTATCAGTTCCTGATCATATGCTACCTCTTGAAATGGTTGAATATCAACCAATTCTTTTTGGTACAATGACTCTTTGTATTCCTTCCTTCCTTCCATCCTTCCCACCTCCCTCCCTTTCTTTCTTTTTAACATGAAAGTCTACAGAGAACATTTGTTTTCCATCCAACAATTCATACATATTTTTATTTGTGACACTGGCTGCCATCTTCACAATGTAACAGCACCCTTCCTACTCCCTCCCTGTGTTTACCATTTCTATTCACCCTTCTTTCTTATTCCTTCCTGCCTTCTGAGCTTTATCCCTGGGCCAAGGTTGCCCTTTTGAGCTCATATGAATGGTTGTTCTAAAAAGTGCATACCTCCTTGGTGTTAATGTTCACCTTGCAGGCCTATCATTTGGCTGAAAGTTGAGCCACAGGAGTGAGTTTGGTTTCAGACTTGAAGGGTCTAAAGGCCATAGTTTCAGTGTTTCACCAATCTCTTGCAGACCAGTAAGTCTGTTTTTTTTTTTTTTCCTTCTTCACTATTTTGAGCTTTGTTCCACATCTTTCTCCCATTCTATCAAAGATGTCCTTTTGTGACCCTTTTCAGAGCATTTGGCACAGGTGGCTGGGCACCATCTAGTTCTTCTGTCTCAGGGTCCTGGAGGCTAAAATTTGCATGGTCCTAACTGTTTCCATGTCTTTGATTTTCTTCACTCTTCTTTGCTCTGGACATGAAAAGATCAACCTTCCATCTTCTTTTGATGCTTCCTGCATCATTCAACATTTTGCTCATAGAATCCTTGCAAAAGCTTGTATTTTTCTTCCATTCTTTCAGCCTGAGAAATGTTTAGCATGTTAGAAACCCTTTTAGTTTTCTAACTCCAGGTCTTTGTGCATTTCATTATAATACTTTCCTTTGTTTTCTTGAGCTGTCCTTTGAAATCTTTTGTTGAGTTCTTTTATGTCATCATTTCTTCAACTTGCTTTAGCTACTCTACATTCGAGAGCAAGTTTCAGGGTCTCTTCTGACATCCATGTTGTTCTTTTCTCTCTTTCCTATCTTTTTAATGACCTTTGCTTTCTTCATTTATGATGTCCTTGATGTCGTCCCATAGCTCATCTGGTCTTCGGTCATTAGTGTTCAATGAATCAAATCTATTCTTGAGATGATCTCTAAATTCAGGTGCAATATACTCAAGTTCTTCCTTTGGCCATCATGGACTTGGTTTAATTTTCATCTGCTTCAACTTGAACTTGCATATGAGCAACTTATGGTGTCTTCCGCAATTGGGCCTTGGACTTGTTCTGATGATAATATTGAGTGACTATCTCTCCTTTCACAGATGTTGTCAATTTGATTTCTGGGTATTCCATAGGGCTAGGTAGTTAGTTACTGTTTATGCTGTTGAATAAAGGTACTTGCATTGAAAAAGTTGTTGGTCTTGTGAAGTTCTTCTGTCCATTCTCTGGCATTGTTTCTATCCCCAACACCATACTCTCTACCTACTGATTCTTCTTCTGTTTCCAACTTTTGCATTCCAATCACCAGTAATTATCAATGCATCTTGATTACATGTTTGATCAATTTTGGACTGCAGAAGGTGGTAAAAATTTTCAATTTCTTTACCTTTGGCTTTAGAGGTTGATGCTTAAATTTGAGTATATAGCCACATTAACTGGTTTTCCTTGAAGCATATTGCTATTTTCCTATCACTGACAGTGTTGTACTTCAGGATAGAATCTTGCAATGTTCTTCTTGATGATGAATGTGGCACAATTTCTCTTCAATTTTAATTTCTGGCATAGCAGACCATATGACTGTCCAATTCAAAATGGCCAATACTAGTCCATTTCAGCTCATTGTAGAGATAATCTTTATATGTTATATTTCATTTTTGATGACTTCCAATTTTCCCAGATTTACACTATATACATTTTACATTCTAATTTTTAATGATGTTTGCATTACATTTCTTCTCATTTTGAGTTTTGCCACATCAACAAATGGAGGTCCCAAAAGCTTTAATCAATCTGTGTCATCAAGGTTGATTCTACTTTGAGGAGACAGCTATTCCCCAGTTGTGTTTTGAGTGCCTTCCAACCTGAAGGGCTCATCTTCTGGCACTGTATCAGACAGTGTTCTTGCTGCCATTCATAAGGTTTTCATTGGCCAATTTTTCAGAAGTAGATTGTCAGGTCCCTCTTCACCGTCTTAGTCTGGAAGATCTGCTGACACCTGTCCACCATGGGGACCCTGCTGGTATTTCAAATTCTAGTGGCATAGTTTCTAGCATCACAGCAACATGTAAGCCACCAGTGTGACAAACTGACAGACGAGTGATAGATCTTTTAAATATTTTATGTTTCATCTCATTTAATCTTCAATCATCTTATTATTCCCTATTTGCATATGAGAAAATTGAGTAATTTGCCCAAAGATTCAGAACTATTTAATTTTCCTGAGCTTCTGTTTCCCTATCTGTGGAAAAGGGAGCTAAAACTACCTTCCACACATAGTTATGAGAATAAAGTGACAGAATTTAAATGAAATACTTTCCTGGCATGTATGAGACTTGGAATTGTTTGACTGTGTGTATGTTTAGTAATTAAGACTTTCTTCCCTGAGGTTTCACACTATAAAGGGAAGCCAGTAGACCTGCTTTCTGCTCTCATTAGCCTTCAACCTGACAATCCCTTACCTTGTTTTTATCCTGTGTGTCCACTTCTCCTGGGGCCATAAACTTCAGCAGAAGCGCCAAACACTTGGGGCTCTTGTGCCGGGTCGTCAAGTGCAAAGGCGTCATCTCTTCTAGATCCTTTTGCATCCAGTTTGCTCTGCGTGTGAGTAAGAGTTTCATGAAACGATAATTTCCCTAAATAAGACACAAGAGATGGTAAGAAGTTTAGTTTGGGGAAGAAAGAAAAACTTAACATATTTTAAGTATTTTAATTATTCTGCTAGAGTAATAACATTCAGAGAAATTAAGGAAGCATTCTTATAATCCAGTAGATGTCAATTATTTCATTACTTCATGTTTCCTTCCAACCGTTTTCTATATATATTTAGGTTATTCTGACTCATAGCGACCCCCATTGGGTTTCCAAGGAGGTAAATCTTTACAGAAGTAGATTGGTCAGTCTTCTTCCCATGGAGTGGCTGGTGGGTTTTGAACTGCCAACCTTCTGGTTAGTAGTCAAATGCCTTGGGCACTGTGACACCAGAGCTCCTTTAGTTTATATAGTATATAATATTTATAGTGCATAATATACAGTATACAATATTTTATTGTGTTAAAGCAACATGTTTCATTTAACCATTCTATCACTGTTAAATATTTAGAATGTTTCCAATATTTTGCTTTTACAGAAAATGTAGCAATGTCCATCTTTTTTCACATAGTTTTTCCTTTTTAATTTTTTCTAAAGAATAACTTATCAGGAACCAAATTACTGAGTCAAATGAGGTTGAACATTTTACAGTTTCTGAAATATTTTCCAATTGCTCATAGCAGCAATGTGTGAGTTTATTAGTTCCAGCAATTCTGACCAAAGAAGCACCTGTTATTTGTGTAGTTCAAAGCATAAGAACCTGGTGAAATAAGCAGAGATTTTTAACTCATATTTACAGGTGAGGGGACTGAGATTCAAAGAGGTTTAAGTGTTTTGTTCACAATCATCTGGTTAGTAAGGAATGATAGTTTTATTTTAAGATAGCTATCCAGGTACAACTTTGAATAAGTGCTCTAAAACAAAAGGGACTAACTAGAGCAACAATGGATGCAAATAAGACTTGCCTGAAGAGATAGGACTCAACTGAGCACAAGGGTTGGGAGAGAGATAAGAAGGAATAAGAGCAGGAAAGAGGGATTCATGAGTGTTCATATTAGATGGGCAGACTTGGCCTGGACTGGAAACCAAACTGATGGCCATGGTAAAGAAGTACTTTACACCATCTTCCAGAAGACAGCTATCTGGCCAAACGACTGGAAGAGATCCGTATTTGTACCCATATAATATCTATCAGTAGGTTTCAAAATTTGTAAATGTGGATTTTCTGGTATGTTTTAAATTGATTTTTAATTTTCAACATTGAGGTCAAAGAACATGACATAAATTCCTGTGCATTTGTTAAGATTAGCTTTGGAGGTGGTTTGTTTTGCTAAATATTCCCTATGTGCTTGAAATGAATGTGCATCTTCTAATTATTGGGAGCAGTATCATTTATATGGTCCATTAAGTTTGCTATTGGTGTAATTAAAATCTCACTAATTTTTTAATCTAGTCTATCAGTCTCTGAGAGAGGGAGGTTGTAAGTCCTAATGACACATAGATATGTCCATTTTTCCTTGTAGTTCTGTCAACTGTGGATGTAAGTGTATGATTGTGGTAAATCAGTCAGTTGGCTAAATGGTCAAATCCAGTCCCTTTCCCCTCTTGCTGCTTCAGCAAAGCTCAATACTTGCTTCTCCCCCTTCCCTTCAGGTGGCCCTGTAACCCGGTTCTGGTGTGCGAGCTTAAGGTGGAAATCTAAGATAGCTTTAGGGAAATGCAGAAACGCATTTACTTCCTGACATAAAGGGGCAGATGCAGCTGGTATGGCCGGTCTACCTTCCTTCTGCCTTGAAGGTGGACCGGATAGCCATCCTGTGACCATGACACAAGCATGACAGACAGCTGGAATCATCCTGAGAAACTAGCCCTGACCTCATCACTTAGCACACAAAGGTTTCTACCTCACCCTCACTCTTTGGTCACTGCTTAAGCTGACACTTCCTCTCCCCTAGCACTGCCTTCAGGTTTCTGTTGGTGCTGCGCATTTACTTACAGAATCTCAAAATCAGACTAATTAGAAACTGCCAGCTTCTCTGTGCTGACGGCACCCAGACTCATCAATTTCCTCTTAGTTCCTGGGCACTGTCCCAGCTCAGAGCTCCCCTCACCTTGCTCCTTAGGCCTCAAAAACGCTCTGCCATGGCTCTTTCCCTCACTGGCTGACTCTGCCCTTCAGTCTCAGGCTCAATTGTTTCCTCTCGGAGAGCTGCTTTTTGATCACCTTCCCTAAGTAGAACTTATTTTGTTCACCTTGATTCTGCCACTTTGTCATTTTCTTTACATACTTTTCTTCATTCGTAGCCACACATATTTTTCTTTGTTCCCCCTTACTGTGTTCTTCCTCACAAACTGTATGCTTCATGAAGGCAGAGACTAATTTTTCAACCGCTGTGCTTGGCACAGTTCCTGGAACAAAACAGGTGCTTAGTAAGTGTTACTTGAAGCGCTGAGTAAATTAGGTGAAGTGAAATACCTTCCCCAGGTCCCCCCGCTTCCCTTAAAAAGTCTTTTTACAGTTTGTGATATGAGATTATGACAGTTCTGGGTCTTAATTTTCAAATCTCAGGTATCTGGTTATTTCTGTTGATTAATGTTTCATTTATCTGCACTTCATTTATATTAACTACATCATTTATCTGCGTTACTCATTTCATCCAATACCAGCTCCTAAAAATTCCTCCAGAGGGCGCTCTACTCCAAATCTCCTTCCATTTTTTCTTGGAAAAAAGAGAAAATGCCCAAGAAAAGTAAGACTGTGGCAGGCAGTTCATACCAAAAACTAAGGTTTGATCTTTCTGATTATAACATTTCAAATACTGTAGAATAATTTATTATGACCTTTTAAAAATGTTCACTTAGACAATGATTTTGATTCTGAAATTAGAGGAAAAGGGAAGAAAATGAAGGGTGTTGGGTAAGTGACAAATATGTTATCGACACCATGTTGGCATACTTTCACATTATTATGGGGACTCTACGTACACAAACTGTGGTACAGCCCAGTAATCATATTCATGCATTCATTCATCATGAAGCAGGCAATAGTAAAATGTTTGCATTTCACTTTACTTTTTACAAAGCTCTTTAACCTTGACTTCATCTTTGCTTCTTAAAGAAGCATCATAGAAAATTTTTTACAGATTACACAACCATTGTCCTGTGCCTCGATTTCCTCATCTTCATCTGTGGAATGGGGATAACAGCAGTACCTGCGATGACTGTGTGTATGAAAATGACAGACACGGGCCTATTGGTTTTGTGGTGCTCACAAATGCGTGCTCTCCACGAACTGAAGGTTTAGGCTCCCCACGCTGAGCACGCCTGTCAGTGCCACTTTTCCAACAGCATGTGCTCTTTGTGTCTCTGTGTCACATTTTGGTGATCCTCATGGTACTTCAAACTCTTCCATGATGCTGTTCACACAGGATTGCAGCATACTGTAAACATGACTTGTACATGTACTGGGAAGCTCAAAAAGCTGTGTGACGCGCTGGACTGTGATCTCTCTTTACAGTGGTAGTCTGGGACTGAACCTGCACTATCTCCGAGGTCTGCCTGTCGTGTGTGTAAAGGATAGAACAGTGCCCAAAGTAAACGCTCAGGAACTGTTTGCTAGTATTGTTATGAACAGTTTTCCAGTGTGGAGAAGGCAACAAAACAGGATGGTCAAGTGAAAGCAGAAACTGCCCATGGTAGAGGGAGGGAAATGAAAGGGTTAACTGTAAAGCGTGTCCATGTCCAGTTGGTAATCTAGCAGAGAACCAAGGTTAGGGACAGGTAAAAATAAAAAGAGTTGGAATGTTGTATGTAATGGGTTTTCTGATTTTTTTTTTTTACATTGAGATAAAGGTATATACTCTACAGAAAACGATACGGGGCCAACCAAAGGCATGCACAGTAGGAATTTAGCTGGAACTCTTAGGTGTTTATAGCTATGTGATCAGGCCAGCTTCTACTATTCCAAAGGGCCGAGATCCATCAGATGTTCCCTATGAAGGCTGGATCTGGGAACAATATTATCCACTTGGACCAAGTTCAACCTCTTCCAGCTCATGGAAATATTGTAACTATATATATAATAGCATGGAAGATCTGGTGGCACAGTGCCTAAGGCACTTGATTGCTAAGCAGAAGGCTGGCAGTTCAAACCCACCAGCCACTCCTCAGAAGGAAGGTTGGGCAATCTACTTCCATTGAGATACCACCTCAGAAACCCAAGGGGGTTTGCTATGAGTCAGAATCAATTCAACGGCAGTGAGTTTGTTTTTTTCTGGTTTATACAACAGCACACACAAACGTAAGATGTTGTTGTTGTTGTCATTTGCCGTCAAGTCGGCCCCGACTCATAGCGACCCCTCCTTGGGTTTCCGAGGCAGTATCATTATGGAAGTAGGATTGCCCAACCTTCCTTCCGAGGAGTGGCAAACGTAAGATAGGCATCCGCTTATCTTTCATTCTAAATCCTAATGATATTATTTACCTAAAGACATATTACTTAAAATTGAAATGCAAATAATAGAAACATAATTTGTTATGGTTAATTTTAATGATATCTACATCATTATTAGCAGTATATTGATAGAGAACTTCCAGAGGTTCAAGCTGGATTCAGAAGAGGACGTGGAACAAGGGATATCATAGCTGTTGTCAGATGGATCTTGGCTCAAGGCAAAGAATACCAGAAAGATGTTTACTTGTGTTTTATTGACTATGCAAAGGCATTTGATTGTGTGGCTCATGACAAATTATGGATAACATTGAGAAGAATGGGAATTCCCGAGCACTTGATTGTACTCATGAGGAATCTGTACCTTGACCAGGAGGCTGTCATTCGAACAGAACAAGGGGACACTACAGGTTTAAAATCAAGAAGGGAGTGCGTCAGGGTTGTATTCTTTCTCCACACTTATTCGATCTATATGCTGAGCAAATAATCCGAGAAGCTGGACTATATGAAGAAAAACGTGGTATCAGGATTGGAGGAAGAATCATTAACAACCTGAGATATGCAGACGATACAACTTTGCTTGCTGAAAGTGAG